GTTTAATCCTACATATGGAATATCATATACCTTTTTTTCTGAATAAAAAAGTATATATATATGTATGTTTATTCGCCACCGTAAAACTCATGAACTCCATCTTTACCATATGACAAACGAGGAAATACCACACAATCCCTCTACCAGTTGTTAAATATAGAATGTAAATCTGTCCACGATAAAAATATACTCAGCAAGGCGCTAACGCCAAACCCCACTTACAGGACATTTGAAAATAGCTCCTATGGCACAATCAGTCTCCTGGAGCCGCCCCCCCCAATACCCATTCAACAAGTAAACCCTTTCATCACAGCCCATGCTCCCCCTCTCCCCTACGCACCGTCCTATTCCCAATGACTGACAAGCCACTCCCCCCCTCCCTTCCCTATCCATCTTCCTCCTCTCTCCCATTTTTTTCATTCTTGAACTTCTACCCCTTTTCCTTATCGTAACAAAGCCCTTTCCTCTCCCTTCTCTTCCTCCTTCCCCAAGACCGTCCTCCCACTTACTTCCTCTGCACACCCCGTCCTGCTCCCATATCCCAACCTCACCCCACTATCCAACACAGCCTACTTTCAAACCCACCCTGCTATCCAACCCACCCTACTTTCCAAGCCACTCCAATAATCAAGCCACCCTACTCTCCAACCCGCCTCAATACCCAACCCACCTACCATCCACCCCACCCCACCCTCACACCCCAAACACCTACCTGATACCGCCCCTGGACGTGTCGTAGTTGAGCATGTGGTCACCGTGGCGCCACAGGATGAACGTCTGAGCTTGGGGCATCTGGCTGATGGTGCACTTGAGTTCGATGGTGCTGCCGGTCTTGTAGAACTTCTCGAGCACGCTGGCGCCGCGCTCGTCGATGATCTCTACCACGGGGGCTGGAGGGGGACCAGAGGGGGGGAGAGGGAAATTTATTTTAGGTGTGCTAAATAAAGGGATGATTAGTTTTTAATTTTCTTCTTATTTTTTCTTGTGTGAATCAGGTATAGTAGCGATGTTTTTTTTTATATATATATAAGGGTAATGCCATGTGCCGTGCATTTATACAATTTTAACATCATTATTGAAGCAATATTTGATTATCGTATCATCATTTCATCACTACGATAATCGTTATCATCACCATACCGAAATTACCCATACAATTATTCCTATCAATAACAATAAAGATAATTTCTAGTACCCCCATAACCACCAATTCCCTAGGCAAAGAAGCCAAACAAGTTGCTTAATAACACTTTGAGACTATTGATTTCCTTCCCCGTCTTATCCTAGGCAACCTGTTTCCGAGACCTTGGAAGAAGCAGCGTCACGGATGATTTACGATTTGTAGCTACTTGATTTCAGCGTGAATAATGAAACGACGGGGGGGGGGGTCAAGAGAGGAGAGAACGAAGGGTTTAGGAAAAGAGGAAAAATAGAGAGAGGGGGGTGGGTGGGAAGGAGAGTAAAAGAGAGGAGAGAGGGAAGAGTAAAAGAGAGAGAAAGGAGAGAGGGACTGATAGAGAGAGAGAGAGAGAGAGAGAGAGAGAGAGAAGAGAGAAGAGAGAGAGAGAGAGAGAGAGAAATGAAAATTATATTGGAAGCGTCAAAAATACAAGAGAAAGACTAGAGGAAATATCATATTCCAAAAATATTTTCTGTGGCCTTGCGCTGAAATGACAATTCTAAAATGAAAACATATATATATGAAATAGAGACAGGATTTCAGTCAGCTTACCCAGAACGTAGTCTGTATAGCCTACATATACCATGTATGTATACATGACCTTGTAGGCCTGTGCAGTGCGTATATATAAGTACACACACACACACACACACACACACACACACACACACACACACACACACACACACACACACACACACATATGTATGTGTGTGTGGTGGGGGCGGGTGTTTGAGGCTACATGTCATTGCCAATATATCGAAGTGCTTCCTCGCTTCTCCAATTCCTGGAAAGGCTAACCACGACCCAGAGAGCTTGAACAGCACCGAAAAGTTCCCGCCAGAAAAGAAGAATGGAAAAGGTGAGAGGAAGGACGCCGACTACAACAGGAGATTAGGTGGCTGAGTGACAGGCAGGGTTATTAGACTCCTTTGTACCTGACCTTTGTGTGTGAAGGTGGAATCTTTTATTAGTCTTGGCCGGTGCCTTTTCAGTGCCGCGACCTCGGATGTTTGTTTGTACAACCCCCCCACACACACCACACGCGCGCACGCATACACACACACACACACACACACACACACACACACACAAGCACACACACATGTATATTCCTATTTAGATATACATATACAAATATACTTATAAGAATATAATTTTCAGACAAACTACAGGTATATTTGGCTACGAGAATCATATAACACTTTATATGCTGATATATAACAGCATATGGCAGAATGTGACTGAAAACAGAAAATCTATACTTATATACTTACTTATGGGTCACTCAAGTGTCTTACCTATTTACTTTACTCTTTTTGTGAAAAATCTTCATTTATATTTATACTCAACGTAAAACACATTCTTTCCAGTGTAAGATGACGAAGGTTATTCTTGGAAATGTTTTTTATAGCTTCTATTATAACGCACCAAGGACGTATAGCACAGCTGCTGAAAAATGTTAGGGTGAAAACAGTGAAAGAGGGAGGGGAAAATGGAAGGATATTAAGAAGCACGGATGGAGGAAGAGAGAGAGAGAGAGAGAGAGAGAGAGAGAGAGAGAGAGAGAGAGAGAGAGAGAGAGAGAGAGAGAGAGAGAGAGAGAGAGAGAGAGAGAGAGAGAAACAAATAAACAGAACAGACAGAGGTAAACAGACAGACAAACAGAACAGATAAAGGCAGATAGACAGACAGTCATAGACCTAGAAAGATATTCTAAAAACCGAGTTAGGAAGAAAGGAAAGAATAGAAGAATAAGTAAAGCCAGAGTTCCCAGGCTCCAAATGAAAAATGAAAGGGTTAAATGAGCGCTGCGGCAACGCATACTTACCCACAATGTTGAGTCGAACATACAAGACTTTAGGGGGATGTGTTGACACTTGGCACTCGTAGCTTCCTTGGTCCCTCTTATTTGTGTATTTAATTTGTAGCTTCCAGTTGTTTGGGTGTTCAAAATTCAGGGAAAATCTGGGGGGAAGAAGAAGGTACAGAGTGCAAAGTTAAAAGAAAAGTATGCCTTGTTTTTTTTCATTGTAGACATTTTCTTCGATAACTCGTAAAAAGTTGATGGATTATACTGCGGGTTTTAGCGCTTTCGAGAACACTGCAAATCTGCACTTCAGTTAAACAAAGTAAACGAATACAGCCCTTCATCATCACATGATTAATGTTTATCCCCAGTGTATAAACACGTGATACATAATTACTTAATATTTCAATAATAATAACAATGTTCCTTAACAAATGACCAATCAATATGTACAACCCGAGTCTTTGGGCTTTCATAACTAACAAAACAAAAGTGTGAAGAATGAAAACACGAAGCACAAAAATGATTGTATAATAAGAAATACTAAAAAAGAAGAAAAACAAACAAGTATATAGATCAGGTAGGCCCTGAACCCACGTCAAATGGCGCATAGCCTCGACCTACAGAGGCATTTTATCGGTCGTCACCTCTCCTTACGTACTAGGAATGACCGGGGCTTAATCACACGTGGCCTCAGTCGGTCGCCTTCAGTACACAAATGAAAACCAACCTAATCTTGAAACCTAACTCCTACTCCAGTATTTCTTCTCTGATTGCGACAATGCTTCAAAATAAATCAGCTGACATGAAACCGTACCTGGCATCATTACTATAGGTATGGAGACCCCACGTGAGTAGCTTGATGTTTTCTCCATCTCTCCTCATCCACGACACCTGAAACATTGCGAAAAAGAACATGTAGTGTAGATCCCTGATAGAACATTTTATGACATACTTATGCATACCCTGACACCTGAAACATTGCGAAAAAGAACATTCTATTACATGCGTGTGGATCCCTGATAGCACATTATATGACACACGGATACCCTAAAATCACATTTATCATGTATACGCACGGATCCCATACAAAAAGAAAAAATAAACAAAGCAGACAACAAAAGAATGCATGATGAAAAAGAAAAATGAATTAAAGTTTATGCAGATAACGAACACTGGGGAGAACCGAAAATAACCAACCAAACAAAGACAGTGAAACAAAGAAAGAAAACAAGTAGGAAGCGAATCCAACACACCCATGCAAGCGACAGAACAGGTTTCGCCACAAAAGTCCTTTGCTCGCAACTCAGCAAAGGTTTTCCATGAATGAACAGAGAATCTCCATGTTTTTCTGTTGGGGAATCTAGAAAAGAAATCATATGGAATAAGATGAAAGGAAGAGGGAGAGACACAAAGGACAATTGGAGGAGGAGGAAAATGAAGAAGAACAGAAGAAGGAAGAATAATGATAATGATAATAATAATAAGAAGAAGAGGAAGAGGAGAAGGAGGAGAAGAAGAATAAGTAGAAGAAGAAGAAGAAGGAAGAGGAGGAAGAAGAAGAAGAGGGGGAGAAGGAGGGGATGGAGAAGGAGGAAGACAAGAAAAAAAAGAACGAGAAGAAGAAAAGAGGAGGAGGACGAGGACGACAACAACGAGAAGGAGGAAAGGGGAGGAGCAGAAGGAGAAGGAAAAGGAGATGGGGAAGGAAGAGGAGGAGAAGAAGAAGATGATGATGATGAAAAAGAAGGAGAAGGAAGAAAAGAAGAACAGAGGAGGAGGACGAGAACAAGGACGAAGGCAAAAACAGGAGAGGGAGAAGAGAAGAGACGAGAGGAGAAGAAAAGAGAAGGAGAAGGGGAGGGAAGAGGAGGAGGAGAAGAAGAAGGTGAAGAAAAAGAAGGAGGAGGAGGAGGAGAAGTAGAAGGATAAAGAAGAGAAGAAGAAGAACAGAGGTGGAGGACGAGAACAAGGACGAAAGCAAGAATAGGAGAGGAAGAAGAAAAGAGAAGGAGAGAGAGGGAGAGAGAGATAGAAATAAACAAGAGATCGAACGTGAGGAAGGATGAGACATGGCAACACAGACAGAACTGTATACTTAAACAACATATTTTCTTTTTCTTTCTTTTTTTTTTACACACTAGCCTATCTCGGCAGAGCGTCAGAAAATAGTAAGTTAAGTTAATGCTGCTTCTAAAAATAGGCAAAAACGCTGTCGTTCATATCAAACTTATGATAAAAGGCAATAAATAATGAGCAAAAATACATACCACATAAACAAGTTACTTACGACTTGGAAAAACTCACATGAAGTAGTGGTGATATTAATAATGATGTTTACAAGCATTTTTTTAAAAGGCTTTTTATAATGCTGTTGTTGTTCTTCGTTTTCTTGCTGACATCATTATCTTCATTTATTATCTTCTTATAATCTTTTAAGGTATCATTTTTATTATCATTACTTTTACTATTATTGTATTTATTACCCATGGTTATAATCATCAGTACTTTTATCATTCTTATGATTTTAATTATTTTGTTGCCGATATTATTACTTTTATTACCATTATTATATTCATTATTATTATTATTATTAACATCAATATTATCATCATTATCATCATCACCATCACCGTCACCACCATCATCATCTTTATTATCATTAATATATTAATATTATCATTATTATTATTTTATCATCTTATTATTATTATTATTATTACTATTATTATCATCATCATCATTATCATTCTTTTAGTATTACTGTTGTCGTTGTTATCATTACCATTATTGTTATTATTATTAATATTATTATTATTATTATTATTATTATTATTATTACTTATCATTATTATTGTTATTATTATTATTATTTATATTATTATCATTTATATATCATTGTTATTATCATATATTATAATCTATTATTATTATTATTATTATTATTATTATTATATTATTATTATTTTATTTATTATTATTATTATCATTATTATTAAATTATTATTATTATCATTAATATTAATATTATTATCATTAGTAGTAGTAGTAGTAGTGTCATTACCATTAACATCATTATTACTATTACTACTATCATTATCCTTTTTATTATCCTTATTATAGTAGTATTATCATATCTATTATTATCATCATCATTACTGTATTTATCATCATCATCATTATTATTATTACTATTATTAAATATTATCATTATCATCATCGTCATTATTATTATTGTTATCCTTATCATTATCATTATCATTATCGTTATCACTATTTTTATTATTATCGATACGATTACTCGGATAACTGCAATTAACATCAAATGAAAAATGAAAATAATCAGACATTATCATTCGTAACTCAGTACAAGTAATTTCTAGTTCTAAACCAACAATTTTTTCCGTAATTACTGTTTTCTGATGATCATTCTATACCATGGGGATGGTAGATGGTGATGGTGGGTATCATAAAACATTACCGGTCATAACAATAGTATTTTAGTAGTTATTTCGTAATTTTGTCACTAGTAATTTCAACTAATTCATGTAGCCAGCGTTTTCAAACACTCGATTTTAGTATATATAAAAAGCGTGTTTTCCCGTCGTGTGTCGCCGTGAATAAATACTGGTCCAGATTTATTTGTTTTTTGTTGGGATAATTTACTCTGAAAGTTATTTTCTTTTCAACAGATGATCATAGTTCATTTGGGGAGGAAATCATAGTTAAATATTTGAAGCAGATGGTATATTTCTGTTAAACTGCAACAAGGATACGTGTTTCAAGAGCGAGTATATGCTTTATGACTGTGTTCTTGCAAATTATAATCATGAAGATACAGTTTACCGATGAAAAAATATATATACATTTTCTCCAAATGATCTTCGTCTTGCTAAGCTGTACGAAACTCTCTCACTCATCATTCACTCACTTTCTCTCTCTCTCTCTCTCCTCTCCTCTCTCTCTCTCTCTCTCTCTCTCTCTCTCTCTCTCTCTCTCTCTCTCTCTCTCTCTCTCTCTCTCTCTCTCTTCCCCAGCCTTTATCTCTCCCTCCTCCCTCCTGTCTCTCTCTTTCTCTCAAATTAAGCTATTTTTGTATATCTAAAGAGAAATTTCTCCAAAATTGACTAATCTTGTCAATTCCAAAGAAAAGAAGATTTTCATTTAAACATTCATTAATCTTACCATGACAACAATGAAAAGCTCCTATCAATACACACATAAAATCTTAAGCATCATCAACATACCTATTACCATAAATCACCCCATTTTCACCCCTTGACACTCGAAAGTGAAAATACTCCGGTAAAAAAAAAAAAAAAAAAAAAAAAAAAAAAAAAAAAAAAAAAAAAAAGAAAGGAGCACACTCACCGTCTTATCACGGAGTCTGTTGACGCGGCAGTTAAGATAAGCAGTGGAACCTAGTTGGGCTGTGATGTTCGTCTCATTTTCGTAGTCTTGGAAGTATGGCGTCAGTTCATGTTGGTCGCCGTGGAGTGCGTGGTCGTACCTGGGTTAAGAAAATGAATAATCGTGATAATAGGTACATAATGTTGTTTATATCTGTAGGTGGAACAAGAAAGGATAATGAGGATAGGTAAGCTTTAATGATTTATCTTTATTTTTCATTTATTTATTTATTTTTCTTTTTTTAGTTATGTTTTCCGGATATATGCGTGAGTACAAAGGCACAAACAAAAACATAAACTCGCCCTCTCTCACTGTGCCTCTCTCTTTCTCGATCTATCTATCTATCTATAGCTATCTACTATCTATATGTATCTCTCCTTCTCTGTTTCTCTTTTCATCTCTCTCTCTCTCTCTCTCTCTCTCTCTCTCTCTCTCTCTCTCTCTCTCTCTCTCTCTCTCTCTATCTATCTGCTGTCTTTCTCTCTCTCTCTCTCTCTCCCTTTTATAGGCACAAACACACACACACACACACACACACACAAATGATAAACATATATGCGTGGAAAATCGATAAGGAGGATTAAAGAAATAAGTTCTTTCAACGCAGACAAGGTTCCCCTGAAGTGCCAGTTGCTCCAGAGCGTTATTGCAATTGAGGTCTGGCCATTGCGAAACGCCTGGTGCAACTGAAGGCGTCAATTAACCTAGTCTCGTCTTCATCCACTTATCATTGCAGCAAACTCTCATGGTGTAATGGATCTTTAATAGCGTTGCAAATGGCAAGGCTAGTTTTCATCTCTTTCCTCCAGTGAATGTTAGATAAAAGGGGAAAAAATACTAATGAGAAGATTTTGCAAAAAAAAGAAATAAAAGATCTTGCAAAAAAAAGGGGGAGACTCATTTTGGAATTAGCTTCACCTTGGAAAGAAATTCGCGATTTAGTCAATTACGACATTACGTAGAACACGAACGGCTGTAATTAGATTAAAAGCCCTTGATCTCAGATAATTCTTTTCGTAATTTCTGACACAAAAGCTGTCTGAAGATCTAGGAAAAAGGAAGGAAAAAATGAAAAAAAAAGGAATATTGGTAGACATGAGTCCTCGTTGCACTTCTGCTGCATGTCTGCGTTGTTCGGATGCCACGTGGATTTGCAGGGTTTCAGCACGCGTGAAATCTGCCGTGATATGCGGGTATAGGTCAAACATTTTTTTTCTCTCTCTCTCTGTCTCACTCGCTCACTCTGCCTTTGGTTCAAAGCCTCTCTATATATCTGTCTATCTGGCTATTTATCTCTGAATTATTTTCTCTCTTTTTCTGTCTCTCTTTCTTAGTCTTGGTCTCTGTCTCCAGTCTCTCTCTCTCTCTTCTCTCTTTCTTCCCTCCCCCCTCTCTCCATCTCTTTCTTTCTCCTCCCCCTCTCTCTCTCTCCTCCCCCTCTCTCTCCCTCTCTTTCTTCCTCCCTCTCTCTCTCTCTCTCATCTCTTCTCCCTCCCTCCCTCTCTCTCTATCTCTCTTTCTCCTCTCTCCCCCTCCCTCCCCTCTCTCTCTTTTTCTCCCCCCCCCACCCCCTCTCTCTCTCAGGAAAATGGCCCCGGATCATAACGACCTCTATATCCTCCAGCCAAGGTTCAGCGCTTGTTAAACTTTGCTCGTTTCTTGATTCCAAAAGATCATTACTCTTAAGAGTTGCTGGATCTCCCTATGACTTTAAATCCGGCGGCGATAAACACACCATTAGGGCGAGGAGCGCTTATGATTTGCTGTCTAAAGGAGATTATTATTATGTAATTATTATTATCATTGTCATTATTATCATTATTAGTATGATAACAATAATGATATGATAATGATAATAATGATAATAATTATAATTATAATAATTATAATAATATAATAATAATAATAAAAATATCATAATATAAATAATAATAATAATAATAATAATATAATAATAGTATAATAATAGTAATAACAATGATAATGAATGACGATGATATAATTATAATAATAATAATAATAATAATAATAACAATAATGATAATAATGATAATGATAATAACTATAATGATAATAATAATAGTAATGATAATAATTAGCATAATTATAATTTTTATTACCATTATTACCATTATCATTATTATTACTGTTCTTATCACCATTTTTGCAAAATAGTTCCAAAAACGGTGGGACGAGGAGAAAGAGAAAGAGAAAATATATTCAAGTCTGTACTTGCTTACCGAGAAAATATATGTACACAATAAACTTTATCAGGCAAGTGTTCGTGCATGGAACAAGTTTTCTGCAGCTCGAAAAGAGGAAGGGGCTTTTCCTCAAAGTGGTTTTCAAAAGTTCGAGAAGAATTTTGTGCAAATCACTCAAGACCCGGTTTTTTTTTTTTTCTTCTTCTTCTTTCTCTTTCTTCTTCTTCTTCTTCTTCTTCTTTCTTCTTCTTCTTCTTTGAAACGGGATAGGAGTTTACTACCTCAATTCTAACAATGTTTGCAAGACTCGGTCCTGCAAAAAAAGTTGGAGATCAAATGCTTGGCTTCATGTCGTTTACCACTTAGGATCGCTTCGCTACCGAGATAAGACGGAAGGTATTTCGCTTGGGCAGGATCTCTCTCTCTCTCTCTCTCTCTCTCTCTCTCTCTCTCTCTCTCTCTCTCTCTCTCTCTCTCTCTCTCTCTCTCTCTCTTTCTCACGACTTGAAAAAAAGACATTGCAATACTAAATATCTAAGCGTAAATTCTCTTCCACTGAATTTACCTTGTCATATACCCCCTTCATCATCACTCATTCCCTTACACTTCCCCGTTATCTTTCGTCCTGTTTTATCCCTCGTCTGATCCCTCTCCATCCCCAACCCTTCTTTCTTCCTCCCTTGTTCCTCACTTCTCCCTCCCACTCCCTTTCACCTCCCACCGTCTCTTTCTTCCCCTCACCAATTCTTCACCCTCCTCCCTTCTCTAGCCCTCGCTTTCCCTTCCCGATCCCTCTCCCTGCTTTTCCCCTCTTGCCTCTTCCAATCTTTCCTTATTCCTCCCTGCCTTTTCCCTTCTAACCCATCTGAAGGCCTCCCTCTTCCTCCCTTCCCCTCTGACGCCCTCCTTATATCTCCCTGCCCCTCTAAATCCGCCCCTCCCTCCCTTCCCCTCTAAAAACCCTCCCTTTACCTCCCTTCCCTTCTAAACCCCTCCCTCTACCTCCCTTCCCCTCTGAAGCCCTCCCTCTTCCTCCCTTCCTCTCCGCCTCCCTTCCCCTCTGAGGCCCTCCCTCCTCGTCCGAGCAGGTGAGGCGTGACAGTGGGCGAAGTGATGTGTCCACCAAACTTACTTAATGGCCTTAAACCCCGGGCGAAGCTTGAGAAATGTCTCTTTGTCTTAACACTTCTTCCTCCTTTCCCCTCCCTCCCTCTCTCCGTGGGTCTCCCCTCGCCCCCTAACCCCCTAAAACCTTACTCCCACGCCCCCACACTTCCCACTCCCTCTACCACTCCCTACTCACTCCCCACCCTACCTCTCCACAGCAATACTTCTCCTCCGCTCGCCCCCCTCCCTCCCCCCCACTCACCCATGTTTCTCAAAGATTAGTTTTGAGACTTCGTACATCATCTCTGCTCACTGTTCGTGGTCATGCGAGGTACATGTAAATAATGGCTAAATGGTGTTTGCTTCTGCGGTCTGGATCTTAAGATTTCTTTGTTTTTGGTATTTTCTTTTCTCTTGTGTCTTAATTATTTTCTCTCTGTGTCTCTGTCTGTCTCTGTCTCTCTCTCTCTCTCTCTCTCTCTCTCTCTCTCTTTCTCTATCCCCTCTTCTTCTTCTTCTTCTCCACTTTCTTCTTTCTCCTCCTTCCCATCCTCTTTCTTTTTCTTCTTCTTCTTCATCTCCCTCCTTTCTTTTTTCTTCCTCCTCCTCCTCCTCTTCCTTTTTCTCTCCTCTCTTCCTTTTTTCTCTCCCCTCTTCCTACCTTCTCCTCCTTCCTTCTCCCTCCCCCCTCACCCCCCCCTCCTACATTCATTCCTAATAATTCCAACACTTTACTTCCCCCTCTCCCCATCCACCCCCTTACCCCCTAACTTTAACTTACCCCCCCCCCCGCCCCCAGCCCCCATCTCCGTCTTAACACACAAGCTACCATTAATTTCGGCAAATACGTGTCTCCTTCTTCTTCTTACTTTTTCTTCTCCTCATCTACTCCTCTGTTTTATTTTTTTCTCTCTTCTTTTTCTTCTTCCTTCCTCATTCTCAGTGACAAATTTTGCACCTTTTCCTACTCCTCCTCCTCCTACTACTACTACTACTTCTACTATTATTGCTAGTACTACTACTCATTATTATTATTATTATTATTATTATTATTATTATTATTATTTGTTACTATTATTATTGTTGTTTGTTATTGTCATCATTATTATCATTATTATTATTATTGTTATTATTATTATTATTCTACTCCTCCTACTCCCTCTTCTTCATCTTCTTCTGCTTCTTCTTCTCCTCCTCCTCCTCCACCTTCTCCTTCTTCACCCCTCACCCCCGCCTTTCTTCTCCCTCCTCTTTTCCCTATCCTAACTTTCATCATTAACTTCTTATTCTTATTCTATTTTTTCTACTTCTCCAGTGGGTGACAAGGACCCTTCTCAAGGGCGCCGAAAATGTGTCCACAATCCTTCCGTTATCAGCTGGAATGGCTGTCCCTTCCTCATAACCTGTTGTGTTATCTCGAAAACAATTCGTTTCTATTCTTCTTCGCTTTGTTTATATGCTTGTATAATTGGCTATTTGTTTGTTTGTTTGTTTATATGTCTGTTTAGTCATTTCTTGGTTTGCTTGTTTATTTGGAAGAGTGTTTTTTTCTCTCTGTTGTGGCGTTGGTCACAATCTTAACTTCATCCCCTTTCCATGAGCTTCCTTTCCCATCCTTTCTTTTCACTACTTTCCTTCCCTCCTCCCTCACATAATACCTTCTTTGCTGCCTACATCATCTCCCCCTCCCCTCCTTTTACCCTCCTTTTCCCTTCCTACCTTCCCTTACCTCTCCTTCCGCCCTCCCTCTCCATCTACCCTCCTAACTTTGAGACTTTGATTCGAAAAA